AGTCTTGTCAGTTTAAAACTTAACAATTTTATATCAATATTTTACTAAAAACATGATTATTAAACTGAATTCCTATCGCTGCACAAAGTATGTTCCGACTTATTATTCGTAAATATTACATACAAATAATGCCAATATTGATCAAATTCATTCGTCTGAGTCCAGCTTTGAATATAATATTGATAAATTTTACTAAAGTTTAAATTAACATAGTTTTTTTACATGTCAAAGTTCAAAAACTGCGAAATCCTGCACAAAGTAGCCCCGAATGACGGTACATATTATGTTGTTTACGGCAACAATTTTTCACTTAACAATAAATATACCAACACTTTATAATACAATATAATACAACATACGATAACCGGTCTTTTTTGATTGGGTATGGAATGTTTGGTGTTAGGAGACTTTTTGTTAAGAGAATTGTATTTTCAATTCACGAAACTCTTTTCAAACTTATCACAAATAAATTTATTAATCTGAATATTTTTCAATCAAAACAAAATAGTTTTAATGTAAAAAAAAATCTAGGTGAAAAATAATACAGGAAAAAATTATTTTTAGTTCAGAGATAAGATAGAAAAGCATAAACAAAACAATTTATTATTTCTACAAAAAAATAAAGTTCAAAAGTGAAATAAAGTTAATTTTTTTCATGTTCTATGAACAAGTTAAAAAGTGTTTATTCAAAAAATTATCTTTTTTTTTTAATGTTAACTGAAGCGAATGTATATTTACCTGAAACCAGATGCTTAGTTCTCCTAACTCTAAATTTTGATGTTTAGGATTGAAATTAAAAACTAATGCTATATGAAGACAAAGGTTCCGTAGCAATTCGGAAGTGTACGTTGAGCACGGACTTTGTCCCACGTGTCGAACTATCCTAATGACTTCTCCTCCCAGCCATTCTGTACAATAAGTAATAACCTACAAATAATGAATAGATATGAGGATTTTGAAAAAATACATAGGATTACTGAAAACCATTGCACATTATTTTTATATTATTATATACACCGAAGAGCCATTACATTATGACCACTCTCCATCTATAACAAAGGGCCCGCCCAGGTTTTCATGGTTTATCGCCCAGGAACAATGTTTTCATGGGGCACATTAGGACCCATAATCCTCATAGAACAATCCTTGACGTCTGTAAGCTACTTGAACGTAGTTCACCCATTCATGGCAACAGTTTTTCCTGCGGGGGATGGTGTTTATCAACAGGATAATGCCCCATGTCACAAGGGTCGAATCGTCGAGGAACATTCCCGTGACTTTCAAGTCATGTCTTGGCCCCCAAATTCACCTGACCTTAATCCAATAGAGTATTTGTGGTCCTACTTAGAAAACCAAATTCATGCTGCCACGCTACCCCCTCGAAATGTGAGGGAATTGCAGGACCAGTTGGTGAGCGCTTGGTACCAGATACCTCAGACTACCTATCAGCATCTTGTGGAATCAATGCTACTGCGGGTGCTAGCAGTTTTGAGGGCTAAAGGTGGACCTACATGTTATTAGCAGGGTGGTCATAATGTAACGGCTCTTCGGTGTATATTATTATAGATATCATATATATCATAGATTATTAAATATATCAAATTATTATATGTATTTGCATGTTATTTTTATCAAATATTTGGGTATACCTATGAAATTAAACAGATAATATCATTTGTATATTTAAAATAACGAAGAAACATTCAGAAAGTTATATAAAAATTACACACTTTAAGAAGGAAAGAGCACTTACAAGCATGTTTTTCTTTAAAAAAAGAGAGAGCCTAGAGGTTTTTTTTGCATGCTATTGTTCGTCAAGCTTCGGAATTACTAATGCAGCTCTTTGTTAGATCGCCTAGCTATCTGACTTTTAGCTTCATTTGCCTTTTCTGCCCTATTTTCGTTAAAATTTGTTTAACATTTGTTCAAGATTTTTATTATCTTCCTTAATATTTTTTTTACCTAATATTTGTTATATTAGAAGCCACGATTCTTGCTCGCAATAGCTTGCCAACCTTAAGCATTCGAGGAAAATCAAGAAAATCGTATTAAAAAAAGTCAAAACTTTAGATGAAAAAAATATTTGCTATGTTTCAGTTTGAAATCCGGAAGAATATGTACATTTTTAAACCTTTTAAACATTTTTTACAAAATGAAATCAACATTTTAAATTTATAATAACGTTAAAACTAATTCGAACTTTAAAACAAAGATCTTACGTTACTTTTTCTTAGATTATATATGTACACGTGGCTACAAAAAATAATAATTTTATAATTTAATTCATAATGTAAATCATAATTTGAATTTGTACAAGAAAAATCTGAAAAACCGAATATGTATATTTTTATAGTTGCTCTAAAATTCGATAGAATTTGTGTGAAGTAAGACATCTAGGACATTTACAGACCTAAGAGTAATCTAAAAAATTATAACCTGATATCTCTATTATTAGTTTTAATGAACTGAATTAAGCGACACTCAAACACTTTTTTTTAAAATTGTCATAAAGTGACTTAAGAACTAATGACTACATCAATAACATTTGTTTTTTCCGATGCACACCTGTGTTAACATTTCCATCAATTCATGCATTTACAGGGCAGATTTACTGGCCTCTCTTTCAGGGGTGCCATATTAGGTGGGCCAACGTTGTTCCCACAGTAAGGACAGATAATACATCAATAACATTTTGATACCGCAATTTTCCTAAATTACTTTTCTAGATATATGCAAAATTACACATTTCTTTAGTCTTTGGCAGTTAGTTTTTGAGTTATGAGAACGGGCTTGGTGAAAATGTTGTGTGACAGCGGTGGCATTAGCAACTGATTTTTTTGTAAAAATATGTTGAGTCAACAAAATAACGTAATTTTATTTTGTTAGCAATAAAAAATCTAAGTGAAACAACTATTTAATTTAAAACTGCATAAGTTAAAAAAAGGGAAGGTTCTAAATTAATTCACATGTCTTAAAACAATGTATAAAAATTGAAGAGTTGAAATTTGATGGTGAAAACAAAAATGAGTAAATCGAATTTTTGTCAAGTTTAATGCAATGATGCAATTACATGATTGTTTTAAAGTAAGCATTCTTGCAGCTGAGTAACTTACTTGAGCTAAGAGTGTTGATTTTCCAGATCCATCTCGTCCACAGACAATTACAGGCGTATGCCTCAATTTCTCATCTTCGCCGAGCATGAGTTTTTGAATATGTAGTAGTGCATTGCAGTCACTGTCCAGAGATTGAGACACACCCAACTCCCGAAGATATCGTCGACTGTTAAGCATGTGGCTTTGGGATTCTCTATATACTTCCTGGATAAAAATAATAAATGTTCAATAAAAGAAACTATGCATGGTAACTTAAAAATTTTCCGTTTACTTCTTGATTGAAATAGAAATTTAAGAAAAGAAATGAAAAAATCATTGGGGCTTAAGAATTTTTTATGAAGTTCCTTTAAAGAATGAAAATGATCAAAAAAGTAGCAATACGGCTTAGAAATAATCGATGTACTTCTTGAGAGAAGTGTTAAAGTAAAAAAAGAGGCTTTGAGTTTCTTTATATACTTTCTGAGAAATAAAATACATACGAGCTATACATTATAGCTTTGAAATTTTCTATTTACTTCTTGAAAGAAATAAAATATTAAAAAAAAGAAACATTGTTACTGTTTAGGAATTTTCGATATACTTTTTGAAACAAAGGAAATACTGCAGAAAAAGGAGGACTGAAGGATTCTTCATGTTTATACTTAAAAAAAAAAAACGATAAAAATTTTCTTTGAAAAAAAAAAGAAAACTATGCATGGTATGAGATGAGAAGCATGATATGAAAAATTTTCTATTTACCTCGTAAAAGAAATAAAATGCTCTTAAAAGTAAAAACGCAACAACTTTGAATTTTTTTTTATATATTTCTCAGAAAAAAGGAAATGATAAAGAAAAGGAAGGCTTAGAAATTTCCTATATACTTTCCGAAAAATAAAACACTAAAAAATGAAACCATAGCTTAGAAATTTTCTATTTATGTCTTCAAAGAAGCAAAATAATCATGAAAAATTTCCCTCTTAGTCAGGCTTTGTCTCAAAGTGCTATTGCTAAAAATGTTGAATCACATTCTATTCATTTCTGCATGACTCCAACAGAGGATTTTTCTAGGGTTCATTTTCATTACAACCTCTCTTCCTCCATCAATAAAAAGAATATTTTACCAGAACATCTCAGACAACTAGCCTTGGAAATCATAAATAATATCCCTAGAAGTGACATTAAATTGTCTGCTGATGGCAGTGAAACTGACAATCTTGCAGGTAGTGGCATTTAAATTGAGACACCTCACAAAACTTTTACTCTTAGTCAACGCAACCTAACCTTCTGCAGAAATGCCAACTGCTCCGGACGCGCCGAAATAATTAAAAAAGCGGTAAATAACTACAATGTAAATTTCGCAAATATTTGACTATTTTTGCTTACTTTTTAAGAGGTATAGCACGACATAAGTACAATAAAGTGGTGATACATATAAGCCTACGAATTATTTAGAAATAGTGGTGGAAGAAAATCTACTAATTTATTAAATCAAGAATCACAAATGATAAACTACCACTTTAAAATATATATTTGTTGTCCGGAGCAAGTTGGCATCTCTGCTTCTGTTCCTTTTAGAAGTGAATGACTAGCAGTGGATAAGGGACTTGAAGCCATTTTGAGGGGAAATGATTATAGAAAACTCTAGATTCTGACTGATAGCCGAAGTTCAATGGAACATCCTATTAACAAGTATATCTATCCTTCACAAGTTGAAGTGCATCTCACTTCAACATGATATTCATTTTCAGTGGATCCCTTCCCATGTGGATCTATTTGGTAACGAGAAGGCAGATTGCATAGCAAAAGACGGTTGCTGTCTACCAACTTCTGCATCTGATGAACTTACCTACCTAGAACTTTTTCTCAGATGAAAAACTTGAACAGGAGGATTTGGCCGGTGCCTCCCACTCAAGATTGGTAAAGGGCTAGTAAGTCGGGACAGTCGTTGATTCTTCCACGAGACAGAAAAACCAATACTTGCCTTTCACGCCTTCTCATTTCTTGCAGTGATTACTTTTTCTCAGGATATAAAATCCTACCCTCTTTACCCAAAATGCCACCAACATCAGTCTTCAGCTGAACATAAACTGAAGAGACAAAAAAAACTGGTATACCTGCCTAATATCGTGTAGGGAAGTCCGTATCGAAAGCCCATATCAATGATGTTTCGTTGAATGGTTCCACGCTGACACTTGTTGATGGCCCAATATTGGAATCTGCTGCAATTTGTGGAAGGGTTGCACGTTTGTCGTTTAATGATTCTCGTCATTCGTCGTTGATCCCGTTCTTGCATGATCTTTTTCCGACCGCAGCGATGTCGTAGATTTGATGTTTTGCCGGATTTCCGATACTCAGGGTATACTCGTGAAATGGTCGTACGTGAAAATCCAAATTTCATTGTTATCTCGGAGATGCTATGTCCCATCTTCCGTGCACCGACCATAACACCTCGTTCAAACTCACTTAAATCTGTATAACCTGGCATTGTAACAGCAGTAACCGATCTAAGAACTGTGTTAGACACTCGTTGTCTTATACGAGGGTTGTAAATTAAATAGTGGCAACTTAACCTTTAAACTCACAGAAAGACGGGTATGCGCAAATTAGGTATGGGAGCTGTGAGGCGGGGCTGTTGTCGATGTGTAGAGTGCAAAAAAAAGTCGATTAGCTTAGAAGGGTAGTTGTTGTGTGGCGTTAAAGTGAGGAGTTTCGTTTCCATCGCTCTAAAGCATGTTTTCAAAAGGTGATCAGCGGTCGTGGCTTACAATCGATTTTGCCCGTGGCAAAAATGCAACAGAATGCTATCGAGGATTAGTGGAAGCCTTTGGAGCAAATGCTTTACCATATAGGACAGTAGCACGATGGATTCAATCATCTGGTCTTTTTTCGTCATTAAGCCTTTTCACAACATGCTTTATAGCGATGGAAACGAAACTCCTCACTTTAACGCCACGCAACAACTACCCTTCTAAGCAAATCGACTGTCTTTTGCACTCTACACATCGACAACAGCGCCACCTCACCGCACCCATACCCTATTTACGCATGCGCGCCCTTTTGTGAGTTTCAAGGTTAAGTTGCCACTATTTAATTTACAACCCTCGTATACGCGTTGCCGATCGCGGCGCTGTACTTTGATTGGCTCCATGTCCCTTTATTTGCATACTCATGCCTGTACCAGTTTTTTTGGCTCTTCAGTGTATTTTAACCTACTTGAGACTTCTTCGGGAAGAAATGTACACTTCTCCTCTCTTTGTTTCCGACTTTTTACTCGTCAACGGATTTATGGATCTGATCTGACGGCGTCAGACCAGATCCAGAGATAAGTAACAGCACAACAGCTTAGGAAATTTTAAAATTCTTAAAGGAAGAAAATACTAAGGAAAAAGAAACATTGAGGGATTATCTTAATACTTCGTGAAAGAAAAGAAATGTTTAAAAAGGAATCATATGCTGTAATTAGATTTTCTATATGCTTCTATTAAAAAAAGGTTATCAAAAAATGATCAAAGTTAAAAAAAATATCGGTTTTTATTTTTTTTAAAATTATTTTTATATTGATTAACTAATCTTGTCAAAAAATTTTTTTTAGTTGCTATCAAATAGACAAAATAAAGTTTGAAACATATATGTTTAAGCGGTCGTATGTCTGCTCCTAGCCACCATAACTTTTTATCACCCCACTCGCAATACTCTTAGCAGCCACAGCAAAAATGTATATTGACGTTATAGTATTTCTTATTCTGTTCACTTTAGTTGATAGACTTTGGAGACATATAAAGAAAATATTACTTTATAATTTTTGCTCCAGTTTAGTAACGTTTTTCTCTCTTAATGACTCTCACTTTTTTCTTCATTATCCAACATATTATGATCGTCTAACAAAATTTAATTGTCATTAATGCGACACTTATGAAAACACTTTGTACGATAATAAAGCTGAGTTAGCAAGGTATTTTCCATCCCTGGTAAATACCATCGTAGAAAACAGTATTTGCTGTTCTGGAAAATACTATGTTTTTACCCCCGCATGGGAAACAATAATCACTAAAAACATAAATACAAATTCAAAATAACTCTTAAAAATGTCAAAATTGAGTTCTAAGTTAATAGTTTGAAGGGTTAAAAAAAGATCTACAAAGAAGGAATATGGAGTGCAGTTATTTAAATATTTACCAACCTCACAGACTCCCTAACACTTACCAATTTTAATCTTATTCATACTCTTAGTCTTCCATATTGAACTTTAGCATCAAATAGAAAAATACTAATTTAGAGGCTTTCAGTAAAACCAATCTATTTCTACTCTTGTTTTGGATGAAAGAAAAATTAGAAGATAAAAAAAAATGACCCAGGGATGCTGATTATGCCTGACATCCGTGAAGATGTTCCATTAATTGGAGAATTTCGGAATTTATTCCATTTTTACTTACAACTAGATAAGACTAGCATGGCATTACAGACTAGTATATACTAGTACTATTATAGTCTAGACAAGAATCTGGCAACAGCAAAAAATTTAAACAAATATGGTGGAATATTTGCGTAAATATTACAACAAACCAAAATTGTAATATATATAAAAAAAAATGAGCTTACAAGGTCTACATATAAAGTAAAATTTTCTTTTATTCAAATTTAATAAAAATTATTTGTTGTTTTTCTTGTTGATACTGATATTTCTAAGTCAAATAATTTAATTTTATTGTGTTCTAATATATTTAGCTTGGAAATTCATTATACTAAAATTTTTTATGAACAAATTTTATGTTTTATGCAATAATTCTTATTTACTTTTATTCCTTTCCAACAGAATAATTTTAAACATAAAGGAAATTTGTTATAACTATGTATTTAATAAGTCAGAATGTTTCTTACATATTGTAATAAAGAAATTTTCCCGGTATTTACTTCTTTTTCTCGGTAGTTACCAGTTTTTCCTGGTGGGATGAGAAAAATAATTTTCGGGAAGGAAAAAGTCAACCCTGTGATAAAGTGTTTTTCTTTCTTTTCTGTCTCAAAAGCATGTTGCTGTTTAAATGTTTGTTTCAAACCCATGACGTTAGAAGCAACATATTTAACACAATTTATGAAATAATAGAGTTTCGCATCATCTAAACTAAATAATTTTTAGCCTTTCACTGCGAAAGTTTAATTTCAAACATTTGCCCATCCGTGAATATTACAACTCCAGCCAATTTTCAAAGGAAATATTCGAGACGTAAGGGATTTTCGAAAGTAGATGAAATGGCATGGTGGTTTGTGTTATCAGCCATATCAAGTTGTTTAGAGCCAAATGGTGAACTCGACCGAAATGAATCTACTCGAGGCTATTAACTCGAGGATTAAACTGACGATTTGAAATTAAATTCACATCGCAAATATGTTGAAGTGCAATCAGATGTTCAAAAGAGGAAAGGAAATTGAATCTCACTTGAGTTAAAATTTGATATTCTTACAATTGTTAATTAGAAATTCCTATTTTAAAATTCTTTAACTTTGTTATGATTAAACAGATGTTGCTCAGAGGATCGTTGCTCAAGTTCTACAGAAAAGATCCAGTTGAAACTTACACTATTTAACATATAAATCAAGGTAAATAAAAATTACGTCAGTAAAAAATGAAATTTAGCCATCAGGTGGCGCTATTACACATAAAAGTAAAGATAACAGTTCGAATATGCAAAGAATAGCAGAACATTCCAGCGTGATGTGTACGTAGAGTTATCAGAGAACAGCAAGGTTGCACTTGCGCATCACATAGTTTTTTCGCAGTACAGCATCATGACAAAATTTCGAACTAGAGTTTCTTCTAACGAAACTTCTATTCCATGATCCATTTGTGAAGTATCGCTGGAATTCGTTCTGTAGAACTGAATCTAGAAGTCTCTGAGTACTATCAGTTTAACTTCAACCCATGTTGCATGCATTTTTTTTTAAAGAAAAAAAAAGTTTTTTTCCCTTCTGTTTAATATAAATAAGAAAGCAACCAAAAAAGTTGTGTTTTTATTTATTTTAAAGAAACTGATACAAACATTGAATTTTAAAACTAAGGATGAAGTGAAGATTGAGAGTTTACCAAAAATGATGGCAATTATTCACCAAAATTTTTTTATAGAGTCGAGCTCTCTGAAATGGGTAACTTGCTAACTTTGTATATTTTCAATATTATTTTCCGCATGTTTCTTTTTTCAAAAAAAGATATCAATTTCTCTTTTTAAAGTCCATCGAAATATAATTTCAAGAAGATGTAAATTCTCTTTTTACTGTCTAATAAGTCACATAAAATTTAAAGGTGAATCATTTATAGATACGATTGTCACTCAAATAAATTGAGACTTGTGGTTTCTTAGGACAAAAGACGGATAACTTGAGAGTACATGCAAACACAGTCAAGTGCTCAAAGAAAGCTTTTAATAAAAGTAACTAAAGTTCTTTCTGTATCACGAAACCACGATTGAGAGAACTACAATCATGTTCGAAAATGATTGATGAAGTGATGTGCCAATCGCATGAATTCAATTCCGCGTGACGTTATACACTCAATCTCAATCATGATGAATCCATTACAGTCAATAAATCCACTAGCTTGATTCATCAATCATCATGAAAATACGACTTATTGATATCAGCAAGTAAGCCAATAATTCTTATTGAGTAGACTAATTCTTTACAATAAGTTCAAGGATAAAATGAAGCAGTTTGGAAATTCATATTTAGGTTTTAAACGGACAACGGCTTTTATTTAGTAAACTACTTAATCCTTAAGATATGTTTAACATAAAATTAGACAGTTTAGAAATTCAAATTTACCTTTGAAACAAACAGCAAATCCAATTGACTTGATTAATTTCTCAAAATGAGCTTAAGATAAAATAAAACGACTTAGAAATCGAAACACAGCATAGAAACTTGTAGATTAATTCCTTAAAATAAGTTATAAGATAAAAGAAAAGAGATTAAAAATTCGAATCCAACTTTGAAACAAATTCAAATCTTATGGAGTAGAAGAATTTCTAAAAACGAGTTCGTATTATGATAAAATGAAACAGTTTAGAAATTCAAATTCAGCTTCGAAATAAACAGTAAATCTTATTGAGTTGATTAATTCCTTAAAATGAGCTTAAGATGAAATAAAACGGCTTAGAAATTGAAATTCATCTTCAAAACAAACATAAAAAATTTTTAAGTAAATTGTTTTGTTTTTTTAAATGAGTTCAGAATAAAATGAAACTGGTTAGAAATTCTAATCCAGCTTTGAAACAAGCCACAACTTCTACTGAGTAAATTAATTACTTAAAAAGAGTTGAGATAAAATGAAACAGCTCAGGAATTCAAATTCAGTTTCGGAGCAAACAGCGAATCTTATTGAGAAAATTGATTCCTTGAAATAAATTCAAGATAAAATGAAACATTTTAGAAACTTAAATTCAGATACTAGCAACATAAATTAGTTTTTAGTGAGGTCATATTGGTCAGAATCATGACGTTGGCTCTTTTAATTTTATTAGTTTGAAAAAGGTATGCCTGTAGTAAAGAAAAAAATACGAACAACTTAAATATAACTAAGTCTTATTAGCTGGTGATGTATAATAGGCAAGACAAGAAATAGATTTGCATTAGTCTAAAATGTATAAATTGCAAAAAAGTAACAAATTTTTAAACATTTGTCTTCTTATATCTATTAAAATTGCGTAGTTATTTATTTTGTAAATGTCATCGTGTGATTAGTTTTGTATTGCAGAATACATAACCAATTTCTTTTGCTGTAACAGGTATTAAAAGAATTATATAGCAATTTGTTCCGCAACTGGTGTCTTGTAATTGAATTTGAGCCATAGAATTGTTTAAAAACTGACTGGTTGTTTTAACCACTATAATTTTGCAATAAATTGTTTTGCAACTGATATCTTGTAATAGAATTTGCATTATAGAATTTTGAAACAACTGTCTTATTGTTAAAATTACGTAGTATTTCGCAACTTACTTGAATTGATTTTCTATAAGCAGATGGAAATAGATCCCAATTAGGACTCCATGTTTTAGTTGCTGCTGTTATGAGATCATGTAGTTTGGACGTAATAAAATTCGAAAAAGATTTCAAATATGTGGAATGTTCTGGAAGATTTGGATCCAGACCTGATTTACTCCAAGGAACACTGAAACAATAAAAGAAAGCAATTGTTACATGAAGTGAATTAATCAGCTTTAAAAAAAATTATATATATATTTGATCCGAAAAGTAATACAATTATTAGCCTACAATGTAACTAAATATTTGTCTCATAATTTTTATTGAGGAATAATCATTATCAGGAGAGTAACGTTAATATTTAGATGATATAAGTGACTAAATATATGTTCCAAAATGGGTATTCAAAAGTGATGATCATTCTTCAAAAGAGACAAACTAATATTTTACCTTAACTACTGGGTCATATTAGCTAATATTACTTACTTGAGAATACCTACAATTTGACCGTAATTTGATCCTGTAATTTCTGCAGTGTATGCTGCTCAAAATCGGCCTAATATTTTTAGAGTAGATATTTAAACGTAAAGATCATTTATCAGAAGAGTAAGTCAATTTTTTTAAAATGTTAAATTAAAAAAAAGAAGGAAACCAACTATATATGTAATTAAATTATGTGAAAAACTAAACCAGCATAAGAAAATATCGGAAAAAACATCAAATAATGACAACTCTAGACTTAAATGTTTCATCTTGAGGACGTTTTCTGTCCATTTGGAAGAATAATATCATATTTCGAGTCAAATTAGGGAAGAGAAAAAGAATAATTCCGCCGATCAAACGATCAGTTTTCCTACCTGAAACTTTCCTAATGAAGGTGTCTTCCTTACGGGAAAAAGGAAAAATATGAAACTTGGGGAATGAACCAGCAAAAAACGATATCTGTCATCGAATTATTGATGCGGAATGGTAGAAATTACTTCAAAGACGTTGAATTACCGTCAAGGTAAAGAGAAATGTGAAACTCAATACCAACGGTTTAAAAATTAACTTCATTTTAGGGGTAGGAATAAAAAGATTCTGGAAACTTTACATTAGTGTCTCAAGAAATAATTATTAGTTTTCTCTTTTTCTCAAAGTTATTAAAGGAAAAAATCAGAGATAATTTTTTCCGATGCTTCCAAAGATGTCGACATTGCTGCAATAATACACAAATTCTTTGATGATTTTAAACTCGTTTAAGTACGTAATACATCAGTCGGTTTAAGATAGGAATATGATAGGCATATTTTTGTTAAAAAAATTTAGTTACTCGCAACTTTCTTGAAGCTTTTTAGTTGAAATTCGGATTGTAAATTTGAGTTTTTTATTGGCAAATAAAGTTTTATTTGCCTTTCCGTACGAGTTTCGAGTAATATTTAGAGTGGTTTTACGATGATTATTATTGAAAAAAATGCTGCATATCAGATTTTTTTTTGTCTCGTAACATTTTGCGATAAAAATAAATTTTACTGCAAAAAGTACCAGGCACCTTGAGTGCCGGTGCTTTTTACCGTAATTTGATCCTGCAATTTTTGCAGTGCATGCTGCTCAAAATCGGCCTAATATTTTTTAGAATGGGTATTAAACGTAACGATCATTTACCAGAAGAGTTAAGAAAATTTTGTTTCTCTCTACTTTCTCGAAGCTTTTTAGTTGAAATTCAGATAAATTTGAGTTTTTTATTCGTAAATAAAGTTTTACTTTTCTTTATAAATTTTTTTGCCTTTCCGTACGAATTTCAGAAGTTGCGAGATTTTTGTTTGAAATCAAGAAAATATTAAAAGATTTCTACAAAGATTCTTCCAGTAAATGCTAATTAAATATGGTGTTTGGCTGACCTAGATGCCTTATTAAAATCCGTCTAAGAGTGTTGGAGATTTTACTTTGTGCAAACGTAAAATATTTAGATGAATTTTTGTTCAAAACTAAAAGCAGCAACATATGAAAATTGGTAGTGAAACAGCTTATATCAGTTTTTACTTTGTGCAAAAATAGCAAAACAAACGTGAGCAAAAATAATTGACTGCATCATTATGCAAACATGTTGTACCAACGTATACAAATTGGTAAAAAAAAACAATTAAGCTCCGAATTACAAGCTATTTCCCGTAAAGGAATATTCAATTACAATTTTTAAAATGATAATTATTTTTAAAATAATAGTAACGCCAGTGGGCATAAAGTCTGAAGCTACTGAATTTAAGGTAAATTTAAACAAAAAACTCCAACTATGCAATGCTTTCATTCACGCATTGATTTATTACTTATTTATTTATTGAATATTTACGACACCTTTTTTTCAATTGACGTCCACAATTGAAGGACTTAGACATTAGATAAAAAACGCTTTTTTTATTGAATGTAGAAGTTCTAAATTGGAATTGTTTATCTCAAAATACTTTGAATGACTCTAAAGTATTATTACGGAAAAATATATTTTTTTTAGTTAAGCTTCATTAAAAAAATTGAAAGTAGAATTTTAATTCTAATTCAGGTTTAGTCACAGCTACATATAGTAAGTGAGTTTACTTAATTACCCACATTATTTTGGAAGATATGAAAACTTTTACTTTTTGATCCAAGATGGCGGATATCGAAGCCTAACTAGGCTAGAAACAGACCCCTGTGCCTATTGTAGAGCAAGTTCTAATATCATATTCGATTATTTGCCGAGGAATTCTAATATTCTTGTCGAATAAAGTAGACAAACTAATATTGTAAACTATTATAAAAGACGTAAGTTTTCAGTTGTATGATAAAGATATTTACATTTTCATAAGAATAGTTACATAAATCTGAAAATTTTATCAAATAATTTCATAATACTTAACTTCTTTGCATATGATTAGTTTGCTAGTCACATTCATAAGATGTGATGAATTATTTAACTTCTATTTCACAACATCTTGTTAGAATTATGATTAGGTTTTGTTAAGTCTAGTTCGAATTCATATCGAAATTCGTATCCTCTCTGTGCTATGCTTATGTTTGATGATGAACTAATTTTATTTCCAGATTTGTTATATATATGCATCCTAAGTTAATAATTCTTACTTTATATTTTCCCTAGAAATAACTTACTCGCGTGTGTATCATAGCATGCCGTAATTATAAATTTTATTGTTAATTAATAACTAAAATGGTGACGGCTATTTTGTACCGGGTATTTAAAAATAATAAGTACTTCACTAATGAAATAAGTACTTAAATTCACCAGGAATTATGTTTGGTTTTGGGCGTAAGTGGAAGATCTTTTTAGTGTAAAGTAGTTGCCACCATTTTTTTGGTCTTAAGATGAACTAAAAATTTTGACAATGTGGGATAAAATATTACCCTTGAAACAATGGAGTGTGACAAAATTTCACTCATTCAGAAATTTATTGAGACAGAGTTTTACACCAACAAAATATTGTGCGGTAGAATCTCACTCATTCAATATACAGTACAACAAAAAGAAAAAAAGGACAATATAGGATAGAATATCAATTCTTAAACATAGTGGGACAGAATCTTACTAAGGAAAAATATTGTGGCATAGAATCTCACTAATTCAATAATAGAATCTTACGAAGAAAAATTATTGTGAGAATTAATCTAACTAATTCATTATGGTAGTGCGACAGAATCTTCCGAAGGCAAAATATTCTAGGACAGAATCTCGCTCATTCAGTAATATAGTGGGACAGAATCTCATTCAGTCAATGATATGGTGAAACAGATAATTTTATGAGCAAAATTGCAATCGAAGTTGAAAATCGTATCCACACTTTCACGGAAACCCCAAAGCAAATTTATTAACGAATCGAAATCGATCCTCCAATCGATATTATAATTGATAATCGAATAATGTTTTTTTTCTTTTACAAAACTCTTAGAAAGAGACATAATAAAAAGTTAATAAAATTATTAAACTAATTATTCATTTGAAAATCTACGAGAAATTATCTTAAATAATCGTCATAAAAAATGCCGTAAGAGCTAAATCAATGCATTACTTAATTCTAAGTATAATTTGTTATCGTTTGCGGAAAATCACTGAATGAAATTAGAAGCTGATCGATATTAAGAAGGGAAAAATTGGTAGAAGCAATGAATATGAACTAATCAATTTTAGTAAAGAAAAGTAATAAGATTTGTTAAGGCGAAAGGGATTTATACATTGATTAATGATTAAGTATGCGTATCTTACAATGGAACATGAGACGATAGTGGAACTTTCTAAAGTAACAGCTGGGGAAGCAATGAATAGAAATAAATAACAGGAATGAGAGTTCTTCAGGAATAATTAGATTCTCGAGAAGACGGAGACATTGTTCAATGATGATAGAACATTTTGAGTCGCACCGCTCGGTGAAGCATATCGTTTGGTTTGGGAGTTTATATTTTTTAAGAAATAATATCAAATATGATAAATTAACTCTTATGGTGGTTTGTGCGTAAAATGTCATTAATTCTATCGAATTCATGCTCAATATGCTGAAAATTAATATATTAGTTAAAATACTCTATATCCTATTCCTTCTTAGCTAAAAGGAATTTGGACTTGCAGTCTATATCCTCTTCATTTATCAGCATCTAATTAAAATCATTATGATATATCATATAGCTATTTGTTGATAATAAATTTTTTATTGTTATATAATTTAAAGAAATTATTAATATAATTATCAAATAAATATTGTCGTATAATTATTATCAATAAGTAATGTGATGATTATACGCATGAATTATTCCAATAGATGTCTCAAAAATGGCCGACTATTCGTAGTGAACAGTATTCTGTTAAGGAAACTATTCATTCTCAATAAATTTTAAAATAACTGTGTATGACAACAGATGGCGCTTCTACCTAGAAAAACATGAAACAATTTTAAAAAACAGCTGGAGAAGCTTTGAAAAGTAATAACAGAAATGAGAGTTCCTTATTAATATTTAGATTCTCGAGAATTCGAAGACATTGTTCAATGGTAACTCTGTGATGATGGGACATTTTGAGTTGCACAGCTTAGTAAGGCATATCGTTTGTTTTGGGAGTTTATATTTTAAGAAACAAAATATGATATGTTAACTCTTATGGTAGTTAGGGTTAAAAAATATCATAAATTCTAGTTAATGCTGTTCAATTTAACGAAAACTAATTGATTG